TGAAAAAAAATAAAAGTTAATTGTAAGCTATAATAATGTTGTCTTCATGAACGCTCCTATTTTTTAACTCTTTAGTATCGTTTAGAACTTTTTAAAGATAACCAGTAAAATACAGCAAAATAGCCGTACGAATTGAGCGTTCAAAACTATTCCTGTTTCAATTAGCTGATGCGGTTAATCTCGTCAACACAGTTAATCTGATTCATCAGACTGATTCATCAATGACCAGCAAACTGGTCCTGAATTAGCCGAATAAAATATTAAAAGTAATACGAAACGAACCGGAACCGGAAATTGTCAAAGACGAGTTTGAGGCGAAAGTCTGGGCTATAATAAGCAGTAAATTACAGCCTGTTCAACAGTTAAACAACATTTATTAGCCTACTAAATTTTAACTTTATTTAGAGGTAATTTTAATCTACTAATTTCTAGCAAAGAAACTCTTCTTCTTAAACAATATTTTTCAACCTGTTACAAAGAAAAAAACTTCACAACAAATTTACAGTAAATAACAGCTTATAATTTTAATATTTTAAACGAGTTACACTTTGATTGATAAAACAACATTTTCTTTTATTGCCCAACAATTTTACAGTTCTAAAATAAAGCAAAAAATAAAAAAAAAAAGTATTTTTTCTCTTATAATTTTACAAATAAAAGGACAAATTAGGCAAATAGTATTGGGAGAAATGAAAGTTTCAAAAACAATAGCTGTCAATTTATCTCTTTCAGCTCTTTTTTTCTTCTTTTTTAAAACCTTTTTTATTTAACAATGCAACCAAAAAAAAAATAATTAATAAGCCACTTTTAGTAATTAGTTGAGCAGCAGTAAAATTTTTTTATTTAATACTTTAGCTGTTCTGATAAAAAGGTGGAAAAGTGAAAAACAAAAAAAAAAAAAAACGATAATAAGGTTAAAAACGATGAAGTATCAATATTGACAGTGATATTAAAAATATAGATAAATACCTGTATAAAAAACGAAAACTAAGATGATGAGCATTTTTTTTTTTCGGTGGCTGCTGATTAAGTTAGCAAAGAAAAACTTACATCTTAAATAGGATCCCAATGATATGGCACAGTGATGGAATGTTCTTTCATTTCTTTTTGTAACAAAAGAATACAAATAAATATAATGGAACAATTGTGTGCTGTTTTTTTTACAGCCGAATAATCTGTTTGCAGTAATACTGATTTGAAATGAAGGAAAAAAATTGGGGAAATTTCCTTATTTTTTTCTCCTGTACAAGAAGTAACAATACAGCGAAGAAAGCGACTATCAAGTTTAGTCAATCTTAAAGTTGGCTAAAGCTGAGAATCAAATACAAAGAACAAGGCATTTTACAAATAAAAAGACAAATTAGGCAAATAGTATTTGAAAATGCAAATATAAAGATACAGGTAGTTTCTGCAAATCTCAACCATTTGACACGGTCATTAATCAGGTCCAATTTTGACTGTCCAAATTTAGTATCTGATCTTGTTTGGTGACTGCTTTAAAAGCTTTCAAACTTGGTGTTTCATACTTTTTTACAGTCAATCAAGCCAGCGAATAATAATCTAAATAAATGCGAGTCTGTTTTTTCTTGGAGTCAATAAAAGCGGTAGTGTCACCAAACCAAAACAGAGGTTATCTTTACTTAAAAAGTTCTGTAATCTATGAATTGAATAGATAATACAACAAACAGACAAAAATTGCAAATAGAAATCACAAAAGGTTTTTTTGTGAACAACTTTGCCGATGAGGTTACACGAACTTTAAGCAGTAATTGTTCTTACTGATTACTGCTAATCGGCAAATGCCAATAAGTAATTGTGTTATAGAGAAAAATTTTGAAGTTGCTAGTAAAAGAAAAATTTATTTTCTGTTTCATCTTTCCAAAAGTTCAATAACAGAGCTTTCCTTTTTTGAGAAGATGAAATGGAGTGGAGAGAGCGGGGAAATTAAACTATCAGTCAAATTAACTGGTGATTCTTTTTTAGAATGTCCCAAATTTATAAACCGTCGAATAAATTTGAACAAAATTTTGGTTAAGGCAGCCTGAAAATCTGTTGAGAAATTGGTCTAAAAAAAGAAGAAAATTTTGTTAATGATTTTTTGTCTTTTTTTTTTTCTGGAAAAGAAAAATGAGAGGCAACAAAAGAGATGCATAGACAAAAAAAAATTATCAAATTGTCTTATTTTCATTATTAAATTAAAAATATTGTTACACCCAAATGATAACTATTTGTTTCTTACAATCATAATTCGAAAAAAAAAAAATTTTTTTTTTCTATTAAAATTTTGAAAAGTTGTAAGAAATAGACGAGTAATTTTTTGCTTTTCTTCTAAAACTTGAATTTTTTAATATTACTTAATGGCTTTTTTAAACTATCATTACAAATGTGCTGCATTATTTAAACC